GGACAGAAAGGCAGATGTGGCAGTGGAAGGTGTCAAAGCAGTTTGGAGAGAAAAACAAAGTAAAGAACAAAAAAACAACAACGATTAATCGATTATTAAATTAGTCATCGATTATTTTAATAATCGATTAGTCGTCGACTAATTGTGGCAGCCCTAAATATTGACATCTTGTATCTCTAATTAATGGCAAACCRTTTGAAATGAGCCCTGTAGGCAATGAGAGATAATTTATCTGTCCAAACAGGACATGGTCCAGATGCTCATCAGTGTAGGATCATACAGTAAAATCCTCAGCATTTTCCAGGTTTTTGGTAAATTTGTTCTTTTTTATTCAGCTCTTTGAGTTTCACACTGGCTGTTAGAGAAGCTTTGAAGAAAAAAGCAAATCAGCTCATCTTCATGAAAGAAGGAAAACACGACTCCTGTCGGCAATTTACTATTTCAGGCTGCCAATAGATGGTTTATTTGAATGTGAATGGAGGAACAGGTGTATGAATGAGAAATAAGGGGTTATATATGTGGGATAAAAACAGAAGACAAAAAAAAAGACTCAGATTGTGCACTTTTATAACATTTCTCCTCTCTGTGATCCTGTCTTTGCAGGGGCGAGACTACTGCTCGGAGGAGGAGGAAGAGGAAGACGGGACATAGCACACAGGCCCGCAGGAATCATCCCCTCAGAGAGCCTCACTGAGTGTGTGGGAGTGTGTGCGTGAGTTAATGTGAGTTAATGAGTGTGTCTGAAAGAGAAAAGCAAGTTCAATCAGTGTTGCACCGACGGGAGCGTTGTTTCAACGGGACACTATGTTTGTGTGCGTGAAGCTTATTTTTATTTTTGAAACATATGACAAAAATTGTACTTTAAGTGCAAGTGAATGAGAGCGAGAGAGAAAGAGAGAGAGAGAGAGAGAGAGAATGGGATAAGTTTCTTCCGAGCCTACGGCGTCTCACCCCTTCAGGCCTCTGAGCGGACAGATGAAGGTGCTGGAGCGATGGAGGACAGAGGACTGGTGCACACACTTCTTTGCAGGCAGAGTGAAAGACCTGTCACCGTCAGGCCAAACAGAGCTGTTTCCTCTATCCGCTACCCCCACCCCCGTCTCTCCGTCTCCTCTGTGGCCTGATGCCAATGATTATGTGACACACACACACACACACCCTCCCCTCCCGTGCAGTCGGACAAAGGATCTCTAAAGCGTGGCGGCCCAGTGGAGATCAGCGTCTTGGTGGGACAGAATAAAGYAGAGGACTCACCTACCTCTTCTTGGATCCTCACTGAACAATTTTTATTTTTATTTTTTGGGGCCTCGCCACCGAAATCAGGCGACGAAAGGACTGAAAGGGTGAGAGAAGGAGGAGGAAAAAGGGGGCCGGGGAAATGTGGGATATTTTATTAGGAAAGAGTAGGAAGTGAGCTGGTATTTTAGAAACTCTAAACTCCTCCTGCCTTCTAAAGTCAAGAACCTTTGTCTTATTTTTTTTTTWATTTTGTGCCACAGCCACTCAGTTTTATTGTTCCTTTTATAAAGTCTATTTTCTTTTTTTCAGCTTGTTTTATTCTTGACTTCCATCATCACGTCAGTCGTTTGGGTTCTCATCTTTGCAGCAAACTGAAGCTCTACGATTCGGAGTGTCTGTGTCTCAAACACACTCGTTCTCCTTCAGAATGTTCCCTCCTATACACACACACACACACACACACACACACACACACACACACACACACACACACACACACACACACACACACCCTCCCCTCCCGTGCA